CGATGCTACGCGAATCAACAACCCTCGACCTGGGTGGACTACCTACCGCTGGCCGAGTTTGCTTACAACAACACGAAGCACGCGTCTACAGGGGTGATGCCGTTCTTCGCCAACAATGGGCGGCATCCCAGAACCTTCCCGGGTTTGGAGACGAAGGGGGAGGGGGAGCCACAGGGGGCAGAGCACTTGGCAGCAGAGTTGCAGGAGGTCCACGAGCAACTCCGAAGGAACTTAGAACTAGCAAAACAAGCCTACAAAGTGCAGGCAGACAGGCACAGGAGAGTCGGGGAAGACATCCAGGTGGGGGACTGGGTATGGTTAGCAGCCCAGACAGTGCCAGCCAGAACGTTAGCTAAGAAGAAGCTTGGACACAAGCAGCTAGGGCCTTACCAAGTCGAGGCACAAATCAACCCAGTAGCTTTCCGGTTGACCCTTCCGGAGGGTTCGAGAATGCACCCGGTCTTTCATAGGTCGGTGCTTACACCCTACAAGGCACCACACAGGTTTCAGGCGCCAGGGAACGCACCAGACCCACGCAGAAAATCACCCACAGGGGGGGAGTCACAAAGGGCGACACCAATCAACGAGGTCACAGAGATTTTGGACTCGAGATGGGGGGAAGAGGGAGTCGAATATCTCCTCGCCGAGGAAGGTACCCCGGCCAGCGACAACAGGTGGGTACCGGACTATGCCCTGGAGGAGCGGTATCTCAAAGACGAGTTTCATGCACTCTTCCCACACAGACCTATGCCGGCAGATTATTTCGACGATTGGCTTTTCACACCCACACTTTCAGCCAGCACGTTCCAGGGGTTCTCATCAGCTGAGGAGACGCCACCGGAATGGAGCACCCCAAGGGGATCTTGTTCGGGGGTCGACACCGACCGCTCCTATTGGTGGGATGATCAACCGGAGGTGGGGTGGAGACGGGAACTGCAAGAGGGGCCCGGACACGCAGCACCACCCGAGGTACCGGAGGGTGAGTTGGACATGGACGTGTTGGGAGAGGGTTTTGGGTTTGAGCATGAATGCAAGGAGATGGAAGCGGAGGAGATCGACGTCGACGAGTCCACTACGGACTGGGCAGATCCAGCTGGAGGGCTGCACGACAGGGGCACCGAACAGTATCCAGCACTCGCCCCCACAACACGGGAGCGCCCGGAACCCACGCCCGGAGAGGGGGAGGGGGGAAGGGGGGGCTTCGAGGGGGGATGGATGTCAGGGGCTCAGGGGCAGAGCCACGGGGGAAAGAGGCGTTGGAGAGCGAAGGGGAGGAATCTGAGGGGAGCTTAGGAGGATATGACAGTGACTCGAGAGATTCCATGAGTCTCTCCAGCGAATCAGAAGATTCTCAGAAAGAGGCGCCCAGGGTCAGGGCAAGGGGGGCCAGCGGGGAGTCCCCAAGCGGCAGCTGGAGATCAGGGCCAGCTTCCCTGCCAGAGCGTAGCGGGGGGGAAGAAGCCCACAGATCAGAACCGGCGTCCACTCCAGCAGGGAGAGAGAGAGAGTTAGAACTGACCACGCCTCCGTCGGAGAGTGAAGGGGCGGAGCGGAGGTCAGTTCCAGCCAGCCCCTCCGAAGGAGGAAGCAGTGACAGGAGCAGTGTAGCCGTTAGGAGGAAAGTGGCCGGCTGGGCGCACGCGCCAAGTTCAAATGTGCAGGCACGCGGGTCAGCAGAAAATCCAGATTGGGAGCCAGGTCCCAAAGCCCGCCGGAGACAGGGGGAGGAGTCAGAGGAATCCGCCTCCGAAGAGTCCAGGAGGGGTGGGACCCCAGGGGGCAGGAGGACCCAGAGGAGAAGAGAGCAGAGGAGGAGGTGGAGCAAAGCTCGGGTGTTAAACTGGTGTATGGGAGGGGAAGAGTCAGACGGAGCTTCAACGGTCTAAGGTTACAGACGTAGGGATGCGCGCCACGGATGTAAAACCAACAATGAACTTTAATAAAGACTTTTGTATATAAAGAGCAACTGGCGTTGGTCCTTTGTGAGCTGGGACCTGAGGCACCCCTGACAGATATATAATGAATTGAAGAAAGTACTTAAGTACACTTTTCTTAAGAAACCAGAGGCCTTCCTCCTGGGCATAGTCGGCCAATCGGTGGTAAAGAAGGATAGAACTTTCTTTATGTACGCTACAGCAGCAGCAAGAATACTCATCGCTAAGCATTGGAAGACACAAGACCTACCCACTCTGGAAGAATGGCAGATGCAAGTAATGGAGTACATGGAGATGGCGGAAATGACTGGCAGAATCCGAGATCAGGGAGAAGAGTCGGTGGAAGAAGATTGGAAGAAATTTAAAATTTACTTACAGAAATATTGTAAAATTTTTGAATGTGAATGACGATGAAATGAAACGAAGTGGCTCTAGCAATATGATTAGAAGTTACAATAAGTGAGGAAAATAACTAAGGGTAAAATAAGAGGGTATGAATTTGCTGAACAAACCTATAAATGGAATACAAAAAAGGGAGGTGTGAGGAAGTCATGAAAATAAGTTAATGAGTGGTACAATATTTGAAAGAGTGATTTTTTCTTTTTAATTTTTCTTTTTAAATTTTGGTTTTTGTTTTTGTCTGTTTTTGTGCTTTTGTTTTTAAACTTTTATTTGTAAAATCTTAATAAAGATTATCTTAAAAAAAAAGTACTTTAAATGTGCATTGAATATGCGTTAAATGTATAGTGAGAATGGGGCCAGAAAAGGGAGAAGAAGGGAAGGCCAATGTAAAAAGGGAGAGGAAGGGAAGGCAAAGGGTCCTCCCCTTCCTCATTCAGTCCCCACAACGACCCCTTGAGGTGGGTTTTAGTCATATATACGTTGGGCCTGTACATCCTCCCAGTAGCACTAGCTTCCTCTGTACCTGAGATCAATGGTCCTGTTTATTACAGTGTTTTGTTGCTCCTGCCCTGCTGCCTCTGCACAAGGAATTATGGGCCTGGTAATTCTTGAGAGGAAAGGTCATACAGTGGTACCTCTGGATACAAATGGGATCCGTTCCGGAGCCCCATTCGCATCCTGAAGCGAACGCAACCCATGTCTGCGCGTGCGCGGGTCGCGATTTGCCACTTCTGCACATGCGCGTGATGTCTTTTCGACCGTCTGCGCATGTGCGAGCGACGAAAACCCAGAAGTAACACGTTCCACGGAGCACAACCCGAAAGCGCTCAACCTGAAGCAACTTCAACCTGAGGTATGACTGTATAGGGAAGCACAAGTATTGCTTGTTCTCAAATTCACACCCTTTTCAAATGTACAAGGTGTACAGCCTCCAACATTCCTCAGATGAAAATAGGGGCATTGCTCACTCCACGCCAACTGGCCCTTCTGTCCCCCCCCCCTTTTTGGGGTCTTCTCCTGCAGAGCGTTTCCTATCAGAAGAAGGGCAAGGCCCACCACTGCGGCACCAGCAGGACACAGCACACACAGCATCAGCAGCAGCATCCTATTATAATAATTTATTATTTATACCCCACCCATCTGGCTGGGTTTCCCCAGTCATTCTGGGTGGCTCCCAACAGAATATAAAAAATACAATAACCCTCCACTGTCCTGAGAAAACCCCTTAATCCTGATTATATTTTATTTTATTCTTTGGTAGATTTACAAAAAGAAAACACACACAGAGCGAGACATATATATATAGGGGAAGAGTCGACATACAAAGCTTTTTATAATAATAATAATAATAATAATAATAATAATAATAATAATAATAATAGACTCCTTGTGCTCCACTGTGCTCCCCCTTCCTTCCCTCCCATAAAGGAAAAACAACCCCAGGATTCCTGCTATGAATATTGCTGATTGCTCCACCCCGGAGTCTGGGCACCTTAAGCTGTTGCACCGCAGCTGCTGCCTTTCTCTGAGCTGCAGTAGCATCACTCTGGTGCTGACTCATGTTCCAGCATTGTGTCCTGGCAATAATAATTCACCCTACCTATGCAGTGCTACCGCTTAGCTAGCTGTCATCAACCCTGTATATATTTAATGAATCCAGGGGTTTGCTGTGCAAACACAGGCTCTCTGTGTGTCTGACATGGAATCATGCTACTTTATCCTTTTCATTTTTGTTAATGAAAGGGGGTGTTTCTGGCTCTCCCGGGCAGGCAGTGAAGCCTGGGGGTGTCTCCTTGCCCTCCTGCTGTCCACATGCACATTATTCCCCAGTGTGCCAAACTGTTCCTTAAAAACCATGTTCAGGGCAGCAGAAGAAATTATCCAAAAATAAGGTTTTTAAAAAAGCAATTATATTCAACATGCATGACTTATTTTCTGTTTGCAGAATTTAGATTTATTTTGCAGCTGAATACACAGTTGTTCTTTAATCCTGATCTCATAATGGATTTTAGCAACCTGTTCACAGTCTATTCACCTATCACATGGCAATAAGATCATGCCACTGGATAAGAAGCCTACATGTGATACAAACTTTAACCACACCATAAAATAGCTGACGGCGGGAAGGTAAACGGCGTTTCTGTGTGCGGCTCTGGCTCGCCAGAGCAGCGATGTCACGCTGGCCACGTGACCCGGAAGTGTCTCCGGACAGCGCTGGCCCCCGGCCTCTTGAGTGAGATGGGCGCACAACCCTAGAGTCTGTCAAGACTGGCCCGTACGGGCAGGGGTACCTTTACCTTTACCTTTTTAAAATAGCTGACAAAAGCTCTCCACAATAAATAAACTGATTTGCACCAACAATTCAATGAAACATATTACTTGGCTCTAGAATTCCAGCGCTGAGATCTTTCACGTCCCCCTTAGATGCCCAGCTCTGGACTATTCTGACCTTCTGTGACATCACAGCAATGTTCATGGCAGCCAATAGGACGACAATGCCTGCCCAGTTCCACTATGACGGTGGACATTTAACTAACTAGTGACTACAGAAATGACCGCCCAGGTAACAAAGTTATTTGGGCCCATCTTTCCCTTGACCATTCCCCACCTCAGCCTGCTCTGCCAAGCCACAGGGGTAGAAATCAAAAGGTGCCAGGCACTTACTTTTCATAGTCATGCTTGCAATACAGCTGCCGGTTGCGACAGTAGCAAGTGCCGGAGAGAGCCTGCAGGCAAGCGGCGCACTTCAAGCAGCCTTCGTGCCACGAACGCTCATTCACCCTCAGGAGGAAGCGGTCGGAGATCGGGGTGTTGCAGCCAGCACAAACCTCCCGCATTTTGGACTCTGAGCCTTGATGGCAGGGAACAACAACAACAACAATAATGAATTGCAAAACTCAAAGGTCCTCCTCATCAATGAGAACAGCTTACAAAGAAACAGGGAGGCCTGGTGTGTTGCGGGTCTGTGGCGTGACCTGCTGGGATACCCTGCCTCGGGATGCTTTTGCAACAGAACACTCGGGTGGTTCATGTCCCAGGAACTCATTGCTGAAAAGAACCCACAATCTGCATGCAAATGGTGCAACTTGTATAATCATACTCCCCCCCCTATAGTTGGAGCTTATATGTTGCAGTTTGGTTCATACTTGGATTCTGTGACTTTGAAGTCATTCCATTGTTTCGAACATTCAATACTTCCCAATAGTGGTAACCCAACTTCATAGGGACGGTGGTCCAACTCCCTTATCATTAACTTAGGAAAAATCTAGAAATATTCATTTTTACCCAGGCAATTGGAGGCTGAAAGATCTGTTCCTGGCAACTCTTAAATTATTTGCTGTGAGAGTAGGTGGTTTTAAAAAACAAAAAACCCCAGTTTTTGTTTAGTTTTTAAGTATTGTTTTAAAAGGTTTAATCTGTTTTTAGAATATTGTTTAAAACTGTTTTTAGACATTTTAATTGTACTGTATTCTGTTATTTACATGTTTGCCACCTTTGGGAGGAAGCAAGGAATATAAATTTAGCAAACAAACAATATTTGTACATTAATGATTAATTTTTTTAACCTGCCTCATCCCAAAAGCACTCAACAGGTAACAGAGCATTTAAAATATTTTATCCGTATAATATGTGTTTTATACTGCTGTCACTACAATGGGAAATATTCCATAGTCCTACATGAAGTAAGTTTTTCATCTACAGTTCTTCTTTCTGTAAAATGGGTATAATACCAATTGCCCTCATAGCTCATTCCACTATTTATAAAATTTTACTTATATTAGTAATCAATCTGATTATTTTTTTGAATCCCATATGTCATTTTTAAGAAGTTTCCCCTTATCCTGAAAACATACATCCCTTCATAGTTTAGAAAACTTTTTAAAAAACCAATCCCAAGAATATAAATAAAAATGTCCTCCTGCTTCTTGAAGCTCAGAGAATTTCCTTGCAGATTCCCCACACTCCATTCTTTACAATGCTCTTGCTTGTGTAAGAGTCACTACTGCGCATCTTTGACCCTGCTTCATCCATTCAGTCAGTTTCCAGCCCTCTCTACCACCCCGGATACTGTGGCTTAAGCAGGACATACCTCACTTCAAATAGGAGATAACTTTTTAAATGTCTTGCTTGAGTTGTTCAAGATTATCTGTGCATCAATCTATGGCAGCCGTTCAAAGACTTCCTAGCATGGACTGCAACAGATAAGGAAGTAAGTGCAGCTGGGTCATAAACACCCTCTCCAGCGTGTTGGACGTGGCTTGGGGCTGAGGCAGTGAGGGAGTCTAAGCTGCTGCCAAGTGCATGTCATCATCTTCAGTGCGGAGGTTGCTGGGTCTTGTTGGCGCACTTCCTTTCCTTTTGGGCTTCCCTGCTTGTATGTGTGAGTGCATGTGTTCGCGCTCAATTGATGGTGTGTGCTGCCATCTCGGTGCTGGAGAGGAGCCATGGCTCTGTAGTAAGGCTTTGCACACAGGTGGCACCTGCTGGGAGGGGGGCTGGGAGAAGAAGCCGGCCTGGAACCCCAGAGAGACTCTGCCTAACCTGCAGTTGCTGTTGTTACTGCTATCATTAATTCCCTTCTAAATTGCAGTTCATCTGAAGACCACAGTATATGACATAATATAAAATGATACAGTAAAATTACAAAAAACCTTTAAAGCGTTACAAAAAATAACATTAAAATAAAACAAAAAATTCCTTCCAGTAGCACCTTAAAGACCAACTAAGTTAGTTCTTGGTATGAGCTTTCGTGTGCATGCACACTTCTTCAGATACACTGAAACAGAAGTTGCCAGATCCTTCTATATAGTGAGAAGGTGGGGAGGGGTATTACTCAGAAGGGTGGTGGGAATGGGTGATTGGCAGATAGCTGTGATGAGCCTGTTGACGACTCTTAACGACTGCAATAGGTCTTACAGGAAAAAGCAAGGGGTGAGAAGGTGAAAAATGGCTTTGTCATGTATAATGAGATAAGAATCCAATGTCTTTGTTCAGACCAGGTCTCTCCATGTTTTTAAGTTTGGTAATGAGTTGCAATTCAGCAGCTTCTCTTTCCGGTCTATTTCTGAAATTCCTTTGTAGTAAAACAGCTACTTTGAGATCTTGTATAGAATGTCCTGGGAGATTGAAGTGTTCTCCTACTGGTTTCTCTGTCTTGTGATTCTTGATGTCAGATTTATGTCCGTTTATTCTTTGGCGTAAGGTTTGGCCTGTTTGTCCAATATAGAGAGCTGATTGGTGATCTGCCAATCACCCATTCCCACCACCCTTCTGAGTAATACCCCTCCCCACCTTCTCACTATATAGAAGGATCTGGCAACTTCTGTTTCAGTGTCTCTGAAGAAGTGTGCATGCACACGAAAGCTCATACCAAGAACTAACTTAGTTGGTCTTTAAGGTGCTACTGGAAGGAATTTTTTGTTTTGACTATGGCAGACCAACACGGCTACCTATCTGTAATTAAAATAAAATAAACTGACAGTGGAAAACAGCCTCCAAGATGTTGATGTCTTTGATGTTTCCTTTCCACTGAAATGTATTGAAACTGATTGAGTAATTAATGATGATAGTTTTGGCCATAGTGGATAGCAAGACATATAACAGATTTCAGTGGAATCTGAACTGCAGTGGAACAGAAGCAGTGCTGATTGTGGTGAACATAGGACGGGATGGAAATGGCTGCCTCCTTACATTCCTAGTATCCACAATTGGATACCACAGTGGGGAAGGTTTGTGTCCCTTGTCATCAGCAGCTGGGCAATGCTGCTGCCAGCGCTACTAGCAGAGCCTCCCCGGCTCATTTTCAAGGCCCAAGGTGGGATGTACTGGGAAAGATGCTCTTTCAAGTGTTTGGGTCCTGTGCTGTATAAGGCTTTGTAGACCAAATTGAGGAGGTTAAGGGGTGATATGATAGCCATGTTCAAATATATAAAAGGATGTCACATAGAGGAGGGAGAAAGGTTGTTTTCTGCTGCTCCAGAGAAGCGGACACGGAGCAATGGATCCAAACTACAAGAAAGAAGATTCCACCTAAACATTAGGAAGAACTTCCTGACAGTAAGAGCTGTTTGACAGTGGAATTTGCTGCCAAGGAGTGTGGTGGAGTCTCCTTCTTTGGAGGTCTTTAAGCAGAGGCTTGACAACCACATGTCAGGAGTGCTCTGATGGTGTTTCCTGCTTGGCAGGGGGTTGGACTCGATGGCCCTTGTGGTCTCTTCCAACTCTATGATTCTATGATTCTATGATTCTAAAACCATAGCATATAGACAGCCAGGGCAACTCCCTAAGGGTTGGTGTCACATGGCCCACAGAGCCACGTTTGATATTAGCTGCAGCATCCTGACTGTCTTCAAGGGACAGGATGTTGCAATAATCTAGTTGGATGGTTATTAGGGTGGAGATAAGATGTAGTTTATGGAGGAAGTGAGGAGGGACCAGAACACACCAACAGCATAGGATCTGCTCCCTCCCTTCATAGAATCATAGAATTGCAGAGTTGGAAGGGACCCTGGGGGTCATCTGGTCCAACCCCCTGCCATGCAGGAATATTAAAGCATTCATGGCAGGTAGCCATCCAGCCTCTGCTTGAAAAACTCCAAGGAAGGAGAGACCACAACCTCCCAGGGGAGACCATTCCTCGGTCAAACAGCTCCTTCTGCCAGGAAGTTTTTCCAAATGTTTAATCTCCTTTCTTGTAGCTTGAAGCCATTAGTTCAAGTCCTACCCTCCAGAGCAGGAGAAAACAAGCATATTCTGTCTCCCATGTCACACCCCTTAAGATATTTGAAGATGGCTATCACATCTACTCTCAGTCTCCTCTTTTCCAGGCTATAATTTAAATGTATCTTTTTTAAAAAATAAAAATTAAGCCTTGAAAAAACCCTTACCAGGCTAAAAAGAGGGGATTTCAAATTCAGATGAAAACTTCATGGTTATTTTATCTAGAAAAGCAAACTTAACAATGTAATTCTACACATGTCTACTCAGACATTAGCTCCATTACTCTCAGGTAAGTGATTGTAGGATTGCAGTTTTGGTCTGCTTAAACACTGAGACATGCATGTTTTCTAAGAAGGGCACAATCAGTATAGTGTGATTTGCTGAAATTTTGAAAGATGTTTAAGGGTTAACATAGCACCAGAATACATAAAATATGACAAATAAGTTGCTCTGAATATATGATAGATTTATCCAAAGATTGGTGACTGTTATAATCCCATGAATTTTTGGAGCAAAAGGACAAAGTCCTGAATTGCAATGTTCAGCTTAATTTTTTTCTGGTTTGATTGCAGTCTCTGATAATCTTATTGCGGCGAGTGGTAGCACCTTTCAAAATTCCCTCTTCTATGCAACTCTTAAAAGTGTGGGGAGCACTGTTTTCCTTTGCATTATATCAGTCCCCGTCTCCATTTCTAGACTTCTGATTTCTCCACACACATCAATTTCATAAAACAATTCAAGTTGCAGTGAATCAAGAGCTTGGGATTCCAGCACAACCCAAGTATCACCACCAGTTATACTAAAAGGCCCTTTACAATTCCTTGCAGGCTCACTTGGGCAGCACTTGCAGCAGATCTCTCTTCCTTGGATTGGCATGCTGAACACACACACACAATCAGGGCAGGTAGGGGGCCAATGGGAGCAAGGACTTTTGTTCTCATTCTTCTCATTGCCTTTACACCCACATCTTCCGCCTGCACATGCCTATAATCATACCAAAATTAAAAGTCATAAAGAAATGGAGCTCGTTTGAGCTCAAGAAAACAACCCTCTCTTATGCAGCATTATTCCAGTTTATTTAACGGCAAAATGCCGAGGTTTGCTGCTTTAGTGGAAACTCTCTGGCATAATTGTCCCAGAGATGCCATTTCAAAGGTCTCTGTACTCCCTTCCATGCATTATTTGCTTCACTTTGTTTGTATGAAAGTTACTGAGAGGGATATATTTTCCCCCAGACTTCATCAGTGCTTGCATAGGCAAGCCAAGCTTGCAGTATGAGCTGGAGTCCTGTGCACACTTACTCAGGAGTAAGCCCCACTTCAGAGTAAAGATGCATAGGCTGCATGGGGGTAGTTGCCCTCTCTGTATATTTTGCACATGAGAGTGGAAAGGTCAGCGTTCCTGTACTGTTAAGAATGGGGGGAAATAAATGATGAATGAATTGCATTTCCCCCACAACTCCTCAACGTTATAAAAGACCTTGTTATCCATTATAGAACAGAAGCAGTATCTGGCAGGAGAGATGCTAGGAGATCCTTCTTATTTAGCACAAGATGTCAGTCTAAATTGATATCAGTGTAAATTGGGGAAGGAGTATGACAAGGCTGTATATTGTCTCCCTGCTTATTTAGGTAACTTTTATGCAGAATTCATCATTAAGATTGCAGGAAGAAATATCAACAACCTCAGATATGCAGATGACACAACCTTGATGGCAGAAAATGAGGAGAAATTAAAGAACCTCTTAATGAGGGTGAAAGAGGAGAGCGCAAAATATGGTCTGAAGCTCAACATAAAAAAAACTAAGATCATGGCCACTGGTCCCATCACCTCCTGGCAAATAGAAGGGGAAGAAATGGAGGCAGTGAGATATTTTACTTTTTTGGGTTCCATGATCACTGCAGATGGTGATAGCCTGCTTCTTGGGAGAAAAGCAATGACAAACCTAGACAGCATCTTAAAAAGCAGAGACATCACCTTGCCGACAAAGGTCTGTATAGTTAAAGCTATGGTTTTCCCATTAGTGATGTATGGAAGTGAGAGCTGGACCATAAAGAAGGCTGATCGCCGAAGAATTAATGCTTTTGAATTATGGTGCTGGAGGAGACTCTTGAGAGTCCCATGGACTGCAACAAGATCAAACCTATCCATTCTGAAGGAAATCAGCCCTGAGTGCTCACTGGAAGGACAGATCCTGAAGCTGAGGCTCCAATACTTTGGCCACCTCATGAGAAGAGAAGACTCCCTGGGAAAGACCCTGATGCTGGGAAAGATGGAGGGCACAAGGAGAAGGGGATGACAGAGGACGAGATGGTTGGACAGTGTTCTCAAAGCTACTAACATAAGTTTGACCAAACTGTGTGAGGCAGTGGAAGACAGGAGTGCCTGGCGTGCTCTGGTCCATGGGGTCACAAAGAGTCGGACATGAATAAACAACTAAACAACAACAAATCAATGTAAATGCACCACTTTTGTTTTCCAAAGGATTTAGAAGTGCTCCAAAAGTCAAGCTATGGTTTTCAGAATGCTGATGTTTCCCCATCCTCAGAATACTTTTAGCCATCATGATTATTAAGAAAAACATTGAAACATGTTGGTTGTGCCAGCAGGAACTTAGGAAACTGTGTAGGACTACGCCATTTGAAATAAGAAAACCCATCTATTGCCTTTAAAAAATCCTGGCTTATGTAAACTTAGACATTAATGAGCAGGTTATATCAGGATGTCAGTGATAAACAGCCTGTGTTGTTATCCATTATAAACATAATTACATTCACCACTGGTATTTTATTGTCCTTATGGGTCTAAAAGCATCATTAAGGTTACACATTTTCATTTCTTGACATTCCTTTTTTTGAATTTGTTATAGGCATTGTATTTCTACTGTGGTCATGTGTTTGCTGAGTATTAATTCTAATAGTAGATTCTCTATATATAAGGTGCTATATTCCTCAAGGCAATGAAAAATAATTTCATGAAAACAATTCAAAAGTGCAATAAAACAATGTGTGTGTGTGTGTGTGTTTGCACAAAACAGTCAGCATAATACTGTACATCTAAGGAGAACGCTACATATACTCAAGTTCACTGTCCTGACGTTGCTTTTCAAAAATAACCTTTCTGCATTTTGCATCAGTGAGCTTTAATTCACATTAAGTAGCAGGTTTGCTTCTAGATTAGCAAAGGGCATCCTAGTCTGGGTTGTTGTTCTTCCCTTAACCAGAGTCTAGAGAACCAAGAAAGATTTTCTGAAGCTGATGCTATACTAGGGCCCGTCTAGCACTTACTTAGAGCCTGAGCATCACTGCAGACATTCAGCCAAGACCACTGGATTGTGGGGCATTTGCCCCCCACCTGTGGAGCTGTACACACGCTTCCCTAAATCAGAAACTCACCATAGCCCAGGACGGGCGTGGCCTGCTGGAGACAAGATGGAGCCTCTTCCGTCTTCATCCTCCAGGTCTGGCAAGCATAGGATGGACCTGCCATGGAGGAGGAGAGACTTAGTTAGTCATAAAAAAGAGAGAGAGATAAGGGCAAGGGAGGCTGGCAGGCAGCAGCTGGACTCAAGCAGGATGAAGGAGAATTGGGAATCCAACTTCTGCCTTCTCAAGTGCTTGCCAACAAAGTAACTCCAAAAAGGGCTAGGTACTCTCAGTGTATTTTCTTGGATGCTGTTCTGGATTTGGGAGTGAGGCTGCTATTTTTAATTTTTTCTGGCAGTGGGACATCTGTGCCTCTGATGACACACAAGAGTGTTTACAGCTCCCCATGTATGCCATCTCACTATAGGGTTGCCAACTGTTTCAGTGGCTGCTGCTTCTGTGCTATCAGCCATCAATATTAACCGTAGGTAGTATTAATCACTGTGCTCTGAAAAGCATCACCTGCTGACTTCTGCACCTTAAAAGCACAAGAGCAGACCAGCTATGCCCCCCCCTCCGACTCCATCTGTTGGTAGATATGATCACACCCGGGCTTCATCATCTACATTGTCTTCCAGTTCTTTTCTAAGCCCTCCAATGTTTAAACGAAGCCCTAAACAAGTTACCTGAAGGATTATCTCTTGCATATACATACTCAAGACTTTCACCAGAGGCCCTCCTTGAGGTTCACCTGCCTGGTGGTGTGTGGGCATGGGGACAGGGCCTTTGAGCCGCTATTAAAAACATAGCTACAGGAGCTAGTTGAAAAGTTGGGAACCCTTAACTGGGGTAAGGGAAAACAATAAATGTTAATTATGTACTGAAATAATACAAAGGAGGACCCCAGAAGTCCACGAAGCCTAGCATCAAAAACCATCAATTTGAGCTGCTATTAAAAACATAGCTACAGGAGCTAGTTGAAAAGTTGGGAACCCTAATTATTATAATGGCCTACTTTACAGCCTTGGGAATTACTGAGAGTGGGATGCAAAAGCAAATGACAATCTGGTAGGTAAGAGATAAGGGCATAAATCAGGCTTTCTGAGGTAAAACCAAGGAAGTAAAACAGACCTAACAAATGAATTTAGCGTTATACAATATCTTCTTTATCCATGCTCTTGTTCTTCCTTTCCTAACATTACAGCCTCTTCAAAATGTCAGCCTCAGCAAATGGCACAAGCATAAGGGCTGCCAAAATGAAAATATTGTTATAGGTGGGGGGGGGGCGCTAAACCCTAGAAATTAATAAATCCTAATTGGGGTGGCACATAACAATATGAAGCTATTCTAAAAGCGGAATGCTGCTGGGATTTCAGCCTGCCTGAAAATCAGTCCCCTAACCCCACGTGCGAAGGAGCTGATTTTAGTCAGCCATCAGCAGTAAGGGTGACTCTCTGCACATGCTCAGTGTCTTAAGGCATTCAAAGTGGATTCTATCTGAGGGTTAAGGTCTGGACACCCATGGCAACACCAAAGCCTCGAAGACAAAACTGCTTCCGTCTATGACAAATGAAAGTGAGCCAAGGTGAGCCATCAGGCTATAGGAGAAGTTGCCCAGTCAGGCTGGAGTTGTAGGTGAGGATTGCTGGTGTCTCCACTAGAAGCAGAAGATGCATTACGTTGTGAGTGCCAAGCTGTGCCTGTGTGGATGGATGACTGGAGAAATAATAGCACAACCATCTGATCTGGTCATAGGGCAAACCTTCCAAAGGGGGGGGGGGAGTGTTCCTTTCCCTAGATCAGGTTCTCTAGCTCCTGAGAAATGAGGGACATCCCCTGGGTCTCTGTGCTGGGAATGATTGGAAGTTCCTGTGTGACACCTGATGCAGGGAAAGGACAGCAGAGCCTAACTGGAAGGAGGCTGGCCTGAACAGTATATCACACAGAGATACCGTGGGGCGGCCTTCTCTGTGAGTGGAGCTGCTTACAGGAGTTTCTCCTAATTTGATTAGCTTGTTCCTCACCGATGTTCTTAATTCTCATTACTCTCAGGAGTAGCTCATCCCAGCACTCAAGTTGCAAATTCCTGCTCCAAGACCAAGAGCAGGGCATGGGAAACATAGCAGGGTGGGGGGCTCCAGATTTTGCCATTGTCATTCCTGCTCGCTGCCTAGTCCCTAGAAATCACTTCCGCAGTTAAGCAGTGTGCATAGATATCATTGGCAGGGCCAATGGGAGAAAAGTTCAGGAGTGCTTTTGTAATTCTTTGAAAATTTCAATAAATATGTTTGGGGAAAAAAGAAAAGAAAAGTTCAGGAGTGCAACTAGTAACTCTTAGCACCCCAATTTAGAGAGATGCTAGAAGTAGGGATTTCCTTAATTGCAGCAGCCAACATGGGAGCCTATAGCTGAGGGGTCAGGAGCCTGTGACCCTTTAGGCGCTGTTGCACCAGCAGGACCAAAGGTCAGCGGTGATGGGTGCTGGAGTCCAGAAACATCTGGCCAGCCACAGTTTCTCCATCCCGACTTTAATTCTACTGCATGGAGACAAGAACAAAAGGTCTCTCTCCATTTGCAGTCCAAGTTAAAACAAAACAAAACCCTTTCCTGCCTTTTTTATCAAATAGGCCTGGTTAGGATTATGTCCTTAGACTATAATCCTCTGTGGGTTTACTTCTCAGTAAATATACTTATAGGGGGACGCGGGTGGCGCTGTGGGTAAAAGCCTCAGTGCCTAGGGCTTGCCGATCGCATGGTCGGCGGTTCGAATCCCCGTGGCGGGGTGCGCTCCCGTTGCTCGGTCCCAGCGCCTGCCAACCTAGCAGTTCGAAAGCACCCCCGGGTGCAAGTAGATAAATAGGGACCGCTTACTAGCGGGAAGGTAAACGGCGTTTCCGTGTGCGGCTCTGGCTCGCCAGAGCAGTGATGTCACGCTGGCCACGTGACCCGGAAGTGTCTCCGGACAGCGCTGGCCCCCGGCCTCTTAAGTGAGATGGGCGCACAACCCTAAGAGTCTGTCAAGACTGGCCCGTACGGGCAGGGGTACCTTTACCTTTTTAAATATACTTATATCATCAGATTCTTCTACCTGTCCTTCAGTACCTGGTAGGGTATCCTACTTTGTTCTTCCTCTGCTTTGGACAGGAAGAAGCAAGAGCTGTGGGGACCAAGGTGTCTCAGGAAGAGGGCAGAGGAGGAGTTGGAAAACGGATTGGGACACAGAGAACGGGGCGGGTGGGGGCGGGTGTCCCAGGCAGGTACCTTGGTCGTGATCTAGAAACTGTGATCTAGGGCCGCTCGCCTGCCGCTTCGACCTGTGGGACCCCCGCCTGCCCCCGCCCACCTGCCCGGATCCTGACTCCTTTTTTTCAGTTCGAGAGGGAGGAAGCTAGAAGGGGAGGCGGCCGGGGAGGGGGACGGCCAAGGAAGGCTCTTGCATTCCGCCGACTCGCCGCGATGGCCCGGCGCCTGCCCGGAGCAAGCGGAAGAGATTTCTCGCTCCGGGCGAGAAGCCGCGTTTCCACGAGCGTCTCTCCTCCGAGGCGGCGAGGAGTCGAATTCCGAGACCGGCGGCGGCCGAGGCGCTGCTACCCGGGTCTCATCAATGCTCGACTTTGGGGCGCAATTTAATCTCCCCCTCTCTCTTTGGTCCGCCTGTTTTTAAAAGGTATTTTATTTGGAAAGGGGCTTGGTAAATTCCACCCTCCCCAGCAAACCCAACCAACAATAATTGGAACAACTCTGTGATCTATTCGCCCCCAAAGGACGGCTGGAGAAGAGAATGGATTCTGTTCCAAGGCTTTTGCGCTAACAGGCGCTTCGGCCAAAGGGAAGCGATGCGAGATCTTGAACATTAATTGTTGCGTTTGTGAGTCTTTAGGAAAACGAGAAGCTTTCCTCTGTTTCCTCTCTCGTCTCCTCTCCAGTTTTTCTGAGGCTGAGGTCATATTTATATATACACGCTTACTTTAAAAGTAACTTCTCCTGAACTCAGTGAGTCTTACTTCTGAGTAAGTAGACGTTGACACTAGACAGGTTGCGTCGTACATTTCAATTAGATGGGCATTTTCTGCCATGAATAGGGGGAAATTGCCGCTAGGTTCCTTTTCATTTTGTATTAGTTATCCAGCCCGCTTTATACGTTGTGTTAAGCACCAGCTTTTTGAATCCGATGTTTGTTTTGGGTTTTAAAAGTTACTTCTCATCTTCGACGCGGGTTACACTTTGTAGGTGATTATTTTGAGATGCGGCATTTCAACATTTTTATGTATTTCCTCGAAAGGGCTGACGGATCTCGTTTATTTTTTTAAAGTAACAGTTCGGATTCGACAACCTTAACTTAAGACATGCTGTGAAAAATATAATGCTTAAAGTGGCACCTGAAAAGACTAATACATTTGTGGGTCTGTCTACGCTACATAAAGCATGTTGTTGTTTTCAAACTGTCCGTGCCCACAATGAACCTAAAGGAAAATACAGATTTCCCCCCTTTGTATATATACATATTTTTCACATTTATAAAATCGCCTTTCAGCAAAGGCTCCAGAGGTGGAGAAAGCAAAAAATAAAATAGCTTAGTGCAGTGGTTAGCGTGGTGCATTGAAGCGGGTGCGGGGGTGTGTGATCTGGGTTCAAATCTCCATTGGGCCATGGAGCTCACCGGGTGATTTTGGGACAGTCTCAATCTCTCCGCCTAAACTATCTCACAGGATTGATGTGATCGCGTGAGGATAAAATGGAGGAGGAGAACCTTGAGTTTCTTGTAAGATACAAATAACTAAATTTCACTTTACAAACATTTATATAGAACACAACAGCAAGCAAAAGATAATTACAATAAATTAAAACTTCATGCAAAATACAAGAACTAGCAAATAAATTAATAAGAAAAACAATAATAACAGTTTATTAAATTTATATACCGCTTTTCATTCAAAGATCACATTCCAAACCTTGACCTGTCGACTTTCCTAGCGGCTTGCCAAAATTAATTGACCAATGCACTCTAAAACCATTGTATATTTTTAAACCTAGCGGAGTCAAAAGGCATCAATGCATAGCTGTCAACTTTTCCCTTTTTTTTTGCGAGGAATCCTATTCGGAATAAGGGAATTTCCC